GGGGGGGGGGGGGGGGGGGGGGGGACTGTCACAAACCTGTTGGTTTTAGTTTAATTTGAAAATGGGCGGGATCATTTGTGGCAAATCGGCCAATCCAAACCAGATTTATAGCTCTTCTAACTACTTAATGTTTACTCCTTTCAGAATAAAAGCTTTTCTTTTGAGTTAGCATTTTTATAAATATTTTCTCTACTATATTATGTACATAGTAAACTTTTATTTTCATTATTTATAAATTGTAAAATGTTATTTTATTTATTTATTTTTGTCGCTCTTAGTTTGGTTTGCCTGCTTATGATGCTACACGCTAACGCTAGCACCGCTTGTAAGAGGGGATAGTTTTTATTTCATTTTCATTTACCTTTATTTATGCAGGTAGTCTCATTGAGATCCAGAATCTCATTTCCAAGAGAGACCTGTTATACGACAAAAATTACAAACACACAAGTAGTTACACAAAAACAAGCAATAAAAAAATTAGACTCAAATAAATAAGCTAATAAAACACGAGCTAAAAACAAGAGCACATTTCACAAGAAGATTTCTCTTTTTGTCTTAGAAGAAATCTGAATTTAAGTTAAACAATTGCAAATTTTTTAGTCGATTTAAAAGTAGCAGAACCTAATTTAGGTAATTGGTTTGCTAACTGTTTCCAAAGTTAGCAAAGAAAGCTAACCCGCTAAATGAGAAGCTACATCCGCTATTCGCTGAACTGTTCCCACAGCTGGATGTTATTCAGAAAAAACTAAAACTTTTCTACAAGCTACTTGACAAACCTTGTGTTTATTAACGAAGTGGCTGAATCCTGTCCGTGTCTCTGATCAGGTGGAGTTGAACAGGACTTACAGAATGCACGTCACCCAGCAGAAGGTGGGAGGAAGCACCTACATCAACTCCAGGTCCGTCTTCCTGCGCATCGACCTGACAGAGGGGCGCTACGTCGTCATACCCACCACATTCGATCCAGGCTTGGAGGGAGAGTTTCTGCTCCGCGTCTTCACCGACATGCCCTCCGACTGCAAGTACGGACCTGGACCCGTTGTCGGAGTTTAACTCCAGTTCCTGCAGCTTTATGGGACGAGATGGTTTTCTTTTTTTGTCTTCGTCCTGCAGGGAGCTGACGCTTCACGAGCCTCCTCATACCTGCTGGTCCGGGATGTGTGGTTACCCCTCGCTGGTCACTCAGGTCCATGTCCTGCAGGCGGACGGACTCGCAGGACACGACTCCAATGGAGGTAACTGTCCGCTTCTGTTGTCATTGTCTGACCATATTTGTTAAAGGGATCCACGATTAGTTGTAGCATTAGACTTTACTTGTGTAACAGGGTGGGAAACACCCGGATTGTGACTTGGAGGACGCGACTCTAGGGTCAACTGGTAGATTACTAAACCAAGGTTAAATAATCTAGGGATTCCRGATTATGAGTACTCAGGTAGGTCTGGCTGCAAAATTGACAAAAGCAGGAATAGTTTACAAATTATATTTTATTCATTATTGTTTTTGTTTTTTTTCAGTATTAAAAAAAATAGCTAGACATGATCACAAAATATTACAATGGAGAGGTAGTTCTGATTGGATGGAACTGCAACAGTTCTAAAGTGCTAGTTCTAAAGTGCCATGTGCTGGTTTCTAAAGTGCTGGTTCTAAAGTGACACGTGCTGGTTCTAAAG